GCTGTGCTCTTCCCCATTGACTCCATTGGAGCTACGGCCCATGGACCCCAGCTGGGATCTGCCCCATTGACTCCAATGGAGCTACGGCCCATGGACCCTAGCTGGGATCTGGCCCCATTGACTCCAATGGAGCTACGGCCCATGGACCCCAGCTGGGATCTGCCCCATTGACTCCAATGGAGCTACGGCCCATGGACCCCAGCTGGGATCTGCCCCATTGACTCCAATGGCACTAGGGCCCATGGACCCCAGCTGGGATCTGCCCCATTGACTCCAATGGAGCTACGGCCCATGGACCCCAGCTGGGAGCTGGCACTTCCTTTGTTCTCCTGCTGGTCTCTGCTCGGAGTCCCTTGGGGTCGCCTGTGTGTGAATAAATCTCCTTGTGGGATCCTGGTTTTGCTGATTCTGTGCTGGAGTCAGTCCTGAGCCGTCCTGTTCCTCAGCGCCCGACTCTCCTCCCATCTCCTGCCCCCTCGGAGAGGGATGTCGCTGCTGCTGCCGGTAGGGGGGTGCAGGCTGGGAGGGGGTGACAGGCACGGCAGGGGCCGAGACAAACCAGGTTTGCGGAGAGGTTGTGGAATCGGATCCCCTGTTCTGGGGGGCTTAGCTCCTCGGTGCCTGACGTGCGAGGGGCAGGGGACAGAGCCTGGAGCTGTGTGATTGTGTGATTGTGTGTTTTGTGTTGTGCTATGAATGGGCAGTTGTGTGCCCGGTGCAGCCGGCTGACAACATTCAGGTGGGGTCAGTTCCCCCCCAGAAAACAGACTTTCATCCACGTTCCGTAATGACAGGAACCTTCATTCCGAGAAGGTTAAAAACGTCCTTTCGAGCCCCGCGCGGCTTTTCTCCTGCCTAAAGCGTTTCTTTTCCTGTTATCCCAGCCCCATAGCTCTGCTACGCTCCTCAGATCACATCCAACAGCCCGTCTTTCCCGGCGACTGGGAACGAGTCGATTTGTGCCCGTACCCGTTGATTTCGCGCCAAACAAAGATTTCCAGCGGTAATCACGGGAACGCGCAGGCCGGGCAAGTGAGAAAAACGCGGCTGGCGGACTAAGATTCGATCGACAGATACTTTCTTTGCGTCTTTTGAAAGGTGAGGTGAACCGTTTGGGCTTTCGGGGTTCCTATGCCTGTAACGGGCTGAACGTCAGCATCGCTTGTCGTGAACTTGTTCTGAGACTAACAAATTTATTTAGGCATAAGCATTCGTGGGCTGCAGCCCACTTCACCGGCTTTAGCTCACGAAAGCTTATGCCCAAATAAATTTGCTAGTCTGTAAGGTACCACAAGGACTCCTTGGGTTTTTTGCTGATACAGACTAGCACGGCTACCACTGAAACCTGAGTTCTGTTTCTGACGCCCCTGCTGGTCTAGCCCCCTCCAATTTCCCGCATTTAAATGGCTCGAATTGGAAAGGAAACCCTTAAAACCACGGCGCGACGTTAGCCGTCGCAATCATAGAGAAATAACCAAATTGTGCCCGGCCGTTCGGTTGTGCTTTGAGGTTAGCGAAACGAAACGTCTTTCCACAATCGAGGCAAAAAGACCCCACCGTTTTTCCGAATTTTTCTTCTCATGGGGCACGGGGGAGGGGGGGAACCTTTTACAAACTGTCGGGGGTTGCCCCCGAATGGAAATTGGGTTTTCTGAAATGCTCTGGCGTGGGGGAGGTGTTTGGATGTGTGCGTGTGTGTTGTTTGTAGGCTGTGCCGTGTCTGTGTTTGGGGAGGCGGGTGTGGTGTTGGTGCGTTGGATCCCAGGGGTCCCTCGCGGTCCCGTGAACCCCACTTCCCAGGGCTCCGTCCCATGTTCTCTGTAACCCCCCAGCCCTGGCAGAAAAGGGAAACGGCCCCTGTGGGGAATGGGACCAGCGCTCAGAGCCCAGTACATCCCCCCAGTAGGCTCTTTGGGGGCGAGGGACGTGTGATCTCAGCTGTGTGACAAAGGCACCAAGAGCTTGGAACGAGGCAGAACCAGGGAGAGAACCCAGGAGTCCTGGCTCCCAGCCCCCTGCTCTAACCACTAGACCCCACACGCCTCACCTTGGAGCTGCTGGTCTAGTGCTCGGTGCCCTCCACCCGGGCTGTGACCGGTGCCCCCTTGGCAAACCCCTGCCCCGGCGGCTTGAACGGCTTCAGGTCGTAGCCCATCAAGAAGGGGGAGAGCGGGACGGACAGCCGGCTCAGGGTGGATGGACCCATGGACACACACACACTCACACAGCAGAGAGCCCCCTCCTCAGTGACCAACAACCCCACACCAGCGCTCGGCTGGGAGGCCTGGACAGACAGACTCCGGGTCGGGAGGGACAGACAACCAGGCGTCCCTCTCCCCCGACACCGGGCCTAGGAACCAGGAGCAGCAATATAGGCCGGTGTCAGGACACCTGGGCTCCTGGGGAGGGTCCTGACACCCAGCCTCCCCTCCCTTGCTCCAACCTGCCAGAGCTGGGAAAAGAACCCAGGAGTCCTGGCCCCCAGCACCCCCCACTCCCCCAGACACAGTCCAAACACCTTTTCCAGAACTGGAATCAGAATCCTAGGGTATGATTGTGTGTGAGGGCTGGGAGCCAGGACACCTGGGTTCTCTCCCTGGCTATGGGAGGGGAGTAGGGTCTGGTGGTTAGAGCGAGGGGGGGCTGGGAGCCAGGACGCCTGGGTTCTCTCCCCGGCTCGTGGGAGGGG